ATGCGCTACGAGACTCTGGCGATATCTGCTGCGTGAGATCAACTGTGATTTCGAAGCTGGGTATTCACAGTCACACACACAAGGGGAGATCTGATCGAGGGATAGCGTCATGAAGGGTACTATGAAAATGAGACCCTCACAGCGAAGTCATGACAGCGGATGGCTGGTTTAAATCAGTGATATTGGGCAATGGGATGAAAATGGCCACCTCCGGGTCATTGACCGGAAGAAGAGCCTGGTGAAGACTCTGAACGGGGAATATATTGCACTGGAGAAGGTAGGTTGGGGTTTCTTTGCATAGTATCTCCTTGTCATAAGTTCTTTCTGTTAACATGACGCGTTGCGTATAGCTTGAATCAGTATACCGGTCCTCAAGCGTAGTGGGAAACATCTGCATATATGCAGCGCCCGATAAAGCCAAAGCGATTGCCCTAGTGGTCCCCATCGAACAGACGCTAAAAAATATAGCTGCTGAGAACGGCATCAAGAAACAGGATCTCGGAGAGTTGGTGCATGATAATAAGCTTCGAGATATCGTGCTGCAGGATATGCAAACGATCGGGCGGAAGGCGGGCCTTGCTGGGCTGGAGATCATTGAGGGGCTTGTTCTAGTGGAGGAACCCTGGACGCCGCAGAATGTAAGCGACTCCTCATCCTGGATTATTTTATTGTATTTTATTTTCTTCGGATTTGATGCACACCGGCTAACGCGTGTTTTTAAAATTTTTCCAGGGTCTCACGACAGCGACGGAGAAACTGAACAGAAAAGGTATTCATAATAAGTACAGGACTGAAATTGAACAAGCGTATGGACAGGGTTAAGAACGAGGAAAATTCGAGTTTTTTCTTCTGACAGTGGTGTTCACTGCACGGTTATATAACAATTCTTTCGAGGGGAGGTAATTGAGACGTGGGTTTGTACTCTGTTATTATTATTATTATTATTATTATTATTATTCCAGTATTGTGGCGGACGTATTGCTTGCGAAAACAGAATTTTCCCAGCCCCCCTGAAAATTAGTAGAAAAACACTACAAAAAAGTCAAAATATCCACCTTTCTCTAGAATCATTTAATTATCATTAAATATGCGTCTTTTTCAATCAATTATCATTCAAATACACATCTTTCTTACCTTTATCACCAAATATGCCATCTCAAATTAGTGATTTCATCATCAAGATTGTACATCTTAAGAATGATTATAAGCCTGCTGAGATTGTACAGAGTATGAATTGCCATCTGACCACTGTATATTAAATTCAATAAAATCTTCACTGCTTTGAAACTGCTAGAGAATCTTATTCAATATATGTCGGATTCCCTCTACGGGCCGACCGCTTCCGCCTAAGCGAGGTGTTCGCTGATCACTTGACAAACGCCTATCACACATAAAAAGCCGCACAATAGCTAGATCTTGATAATATAATCAACTACTCTATTATATCACCTTCTTCAGATTATATCTTCTTTACATATAAAAATCTGCTCTAATTTGCTATATTCTTTCACTACATGCTATCATCATATACACAAGCTATTATTCAGCTTTGAATCATCTTATTCAGTGATTTTATAATAACTTCACTCTGTTAATTATTCAGTTCTGTTAATCTTTTATTCAACTACTGACTTTGCAAACTTTTATAGTAAGTACTTAACTCAAATTATTCTCATTAATCTATTATTTAATATTTAACCTATGTTTTTATAAATAAGAATGTAGATAGTAAATATATCTCTGTAAGTAGCTTCAGTATTAAAGTTAATATTATCTTACTTAAATCTGTATTAATTACTAGAAGTAAAAATATTTAACATAGTTAATATATATATATAATTAGACTGACTGTGTGACTGTATCTGAGATCAGAATCAGATTTTTTAATAGTCTTATTATCAATTTAACTAATCTTATTTAGACTGATTAGTAAGACTATGAATTTCATATTTATCTCATTTGATCTGATCTTATACATTTCTTAACATAAGTCTCATCAGAACTAAGTCTTAAAAAAATCTGAAAATGAATCATTTCTGAGAGAAATGACATGAAAAATGACCAGATTTAATTCAAGAATAGTGAAATGGAAAGTAATTTGTCAGAATAAACTATAAAAGATAATCATTCTTTCAAAATC